TCCGCGGACGCAGAATGGGGAAGGAACATTAACGACAGGCGATCTGTATCTGGCGTGACGGTCAAAACTAGTAATGGACCGGTGGTGTTCAAGTCGAAATTTAAGAGAACTGTAGCACTGATTTCAGCAGAAGCCGAGTACATGATTCTAAGCCTGTACACCAAGGAAGTTTTACGGACGCGCGCGATGCTGAAGGGCATGGGCAAAGACCAGAATGCGGGATAGCATGCCAGAACCAAGCATGTCGACATCAAGCACCACTTGACGCGGGAGAACTTTGCATACAGAACGATCCAAATCGACTACGTCGACACAAAGCATCAGCTCGCGGACATGCTTACCAAGGCACTCGGGATTAAGACGCTCTACTTTCTACACGAAAAGATGGACATCAAAACAGACTCAACATTAGCCGTAAATGGGAGTACCGCTGAATGTGCGTGGATGACGTCACGAGTATTACACATATTGATAACGGACATGATGGTAGTCTATTCATTGGTAAGGTTGCTTGTAGAAGCTTTTAGAATGATCTCAACGGATAGGCTTAGATGTAGCACAGGGTAGCGAACTGAGGACCAAAATAAATTGACTTTGGTTTTTCCCAACAAATATCCCCGCTACCGGGCCAGTGCTACCCAATGCCTTAACGTCGTTCACAAGCCAAGAACCCGTGATATAACTCCCATCTTTGACGGCCATAACGTCGCCTGGTAACCCTTTATTGCCAGAGTCATTCTCATGTTCGACCCCCAGTGGTTATAGTTATCTATGCTCAGGAGGACTTCGATGCGCTTGTTTGTCATCGCGATCACAAATGTTGGAGTAAAAGAAGGTTTATTCATTTGCTGATTTGTTTTTAAAGCCCGAAGTAAAAAAACTGTCACGTCGATCCTGTTGTTTTTCGCTCCAAAAAAGAATCGTCTATAGATAATATGCCGTCATCTGGTCTATGCACCACGAAAAGGACGAGCTCTGCTTAGTAACTCCACAATGAGTCCTGAAACCGTGGATCGTCAAGAAGGTAGATCCACCTTTCATTTACTACTACATGTTTGAATTCTTTTTTGATTGGAACAGATGTAAATCTTATGCATGAAAATAGACATTAGGCTGCGTCGTCGTCTATCAACAGTACATAATCAAGTTAAGAGAATGCGTTTATAGCTTCTCTCACATTTTCCAATCTTTGTGTTTCAACAACAACTTTAATCAGACAACAATAGACAGAATTGTGCAAAAAATGCTAACACAACAGAATTGTCGTAGGATCGACAGGGCGAGTGACTGTGTAATGTGTACTTTTTGCGAGTCCGCAATGGTATAATTCGTAAGGCATAGAATATTGTGCTTTCGATTGAACTGCTGACTGTTTGTACTGACTGTACAAAGGTGCTTTGAATTTTCAGAATAAGGTGGAAGATTGTCGTAAAGATGGTCGCCGAATAAAAAAAGCGACGCCAACTTTTGCAGCATTCGAGGACTTTAAAGTAATTTTTAGCCATGCTTTGAAGCTACATGTATGCCTAA